GCTTTTGTCGGCAGTTCTTCGAAGAGAGCGTCGGCGATGCCAAGGAGTTGCCCGAGCTGCGGAACACCAAGTTCAAGGCGTCCAAGTATAAGCAGCTCCTGAAGGATTTCGTTGTGGCCCAGGGCTACGCCACTGTGGAGCAGTATGTGGAGCAGAAGTTTGGCCAATTCATAAGCAGCAAAATAAATGCATTTTGTGATAATGTAAAGCCAATCCCAGACAACAGCTACAATCCATTTATAATGTCTATATCTAACTGCCTTTGTTGTTGTTGTTGTTGTACTCCTTGCAGGGCTACTTTGACCAAATGCAATCGGACGAGCTAATGCATCTGGTGCCGGCCAGTCTGCAAGGCAAAGAAGAAATCCTTTTCGGCAATCTGCATGAGCTCTACACCTTTCACAACGAGATCTTCCTGAAGGACCTGGAGAACTGCATTTCGACCACAGAGCTGGTGGCGCTGTGTTTTGTGCAAAGGGTAAGGAATGAAAGAGATTATAGTCAAGATTCGCCGACTCATCTCTATATATGTATATCCGATTGTCATTCCAGCGTGACACCTTCTATCGGCTGTACTCGTTCTATTGCCAGAATATTCCGCGCTCGGACCGTCTGCGCGAGACGCTCGTCGATACCCACCTATTCCTGCAGGAGTGCCAGAAGAGATTGGGCCACAAGCTGCCGCTGGCCGCGTACCTGCTGAAGCCCGTGCAGCGCATCACCAAGTACCAGCTGCTGCTGAAGGATCTGCTGCGCTTCAGCGACAGCGGCAGCTGCACCAAGGAGCTGCAGAAGGCGCTCGACTGCATGCTGATTGTGCTGAAGTGCGTCAACGATTCCATGCACCAAGTGGCTATAACTGGATTCCCAGTAAGCAAACTCCTGCCCACTCATTATCATTGACAATCCAAGCTAATCTCCATATATATATATATTGCGATTCGCAGACCGATCTGGCACAGCAGGGCGAGCTGCTGCTGCAGGACTCGTTTCAGGTGTGGACCGAGTCGAAGAAGGACATCCGGCTGCGCATCAAGCCACAGCAGCGGCACATCTTTCTCTACCAAAAGTCGCTGCTCTTCTGCAAGCAAACCTCCAAAGCGGGTCACAACAAGAGTACCTACCAGTTCAAGCATCACGTCAAGGTGGGTCCCAGTATATATATACATACTTATATATCCATTCGCTAATCATCTCTGCTGCAGATGTCACAAATTGGTCTGACAGAGTCCGTTCGGGGCGATGCGAAGCGCTTCGAGGTCTGGCTGCAGGGTCGTCAGGAGGTGCACACGCTGCAGGCGCCCTCGCTGGAGGTGAAGAACAAGTGGGTGGCCGAGATCAAGCGGGTGCTGCTCAACCAGCTGGAGGAACTGAAGGGCGAGAAGATCAAACAGTATGGCCTAAATCATCGCGGACTCAAGCAAACCACATCGTGGGACACGCCCAACATTATACTGGGCACACCGGGTCGAACGATCAGCTGCGATGCATCCTCCGAGTCCTCCAATCGCAACTCCAACTGCAGCAGCGAAGAGAACGGCCCGGCGGGCGCCGCCTGCGGCAACTCGAGCGGCGGCGGCGGCGGCATGGCCGACAGGGATCATCCCGAGGGCTGTGGCTGGAGCTCGGACTACTCGAACAGCGAGGACGAGATCTCGGTGAACGAGGACAACAGCACACCGGTAATTAGAACCTTAGCACTATAGAAATCAGGTGTACTCTTCCTCTCCTGGTTGATGAGTTCAAGAATTGCAAATCCCAACAAGTTTCAATAGGACTTCTCAGTGCAGCATCCTACTATCCTTTGCTGTACTTTCAAATCTCTTTCAAATCCAACTCTGTCTGTCCGTATTTCTGACATGTATTCACTAACCCAAATAACAAATTGATTAATTAATTAATTCCAAATAAATTTTAGAAAATATGCAAAGATTAAAGAGAAATCTCTCGTAGGCATTTAAATATTATTGTAAATTCTTTTACTATTCGGCTGAAATATTTATAATTATAAACTGTATATTTCGGTGCACCGATTAAAATTCCTATAAATTATCACATTAATTTTATAATTTTAATTTAATTTTGTCTAATAATAATTTTATAGTCTTATTGGATAATTTTGGGTTTATCTTTTTACTTACATGGCAAACACCAAAAAAATATATGTAAATTTACCAAAATATAAAAACAAACATAAATTCATATATCTATGTATATGTTTATATATATATATATATGTTTCATGTACATATATGCATTCATATATAAATCATTTGGCCCACGTACGACAGGGCTTTCTGGATCTGCTGACGCATTGGGCCTCCTATAATACCGATGGAGCAGCGTCCTCCACGTCCTTTGCGCGGAACACCAAATCCAACTCTAAATTTTATGTTTCCGTTGACCACTGAGGTGTGCTCCATGGTCCATCCGCATCCGCCCATCAAGTATACGTACTGTAGCCGTAGCTGCTAGGTATGCGCCGTCCTCCCCCCCTCTTAAGTAGTATGATGCACGCCCATGGCTTATGTTCGAATGATGCTTGTAATCGTCAGTTATCTATAAGAGCAGCTGTGTTCCGTGACTAATCTTATTGTTGACTTATTGTTGTTGTCCATCATAAAAGTCATAATCGCATGCCGAGCTCTCATTTCTTCCAAAGATGTTGCAAATGAAATCATTAAATGTATAGGCTTAGTCGTTGGGTTTAGATGGCTTTTATATACATATAGAGGTATATATTGTATACTCGCTAGTAAAAATTTAGTTCACAGCAGAACTCCCAAGCAATTGCAGCGCTGAAAGTCTGTAGTTAATATTTCTTTTAAATAGGAAAAGTTTCAACAATAATCAATAAATACATAGCTAGAGTATACCCTGAAGAATATTGAAGGTTCAATCTTCCAAAATTTCTTCAGTTATGCGATTAGGAAAACGTTTAAAAGAAAACTCTTTGGAATTTGTCGAAGAATTGAAATAGAGCTCCGAGGTTTTGTTAATTCCGACTGGCGTGGCTCATTCATCAATGGCAAATAAATAGGAGCTGTAACGCTAAGAGACACACCCGCCCATAAGACTCACCTTTACGTTTCATAGATCACGCTCGTTGGAGTAGGCTTTATAGAGATTAGCTGTGTTTTGTTGTTAAACAATTATTATTTAATATAAAAAATATATACATACATGTATATATATTTTATATATTATTTTGAATTTATTTTTTACTTAAATTTAACTATATATTTAAAAAAAACATTTTTTTTATTAATTTTTATTAATGTATATATATTTTGTTAAAATAAAATATATATAAAAATTTAAAAAATGATTTAACTTAAATATATGCATATATTTAACAATTCGAAAAATTAAATTTGTTCTTTGAAGGTTAATTGCAAATAGTTAAATAATAAATTAACAACCGCTTAAAGCTTAAGTACTATATTAACACACAGAGCTATATGATTCACTCCAAATGCCTGCGTTAACTGTTTCTATACTATATTGAATGCAAATGCTAACCGGACAACAACACACAACAAATAATATATGTATATTGTATAAATCTCGATGCAGGGCAGTAAATTCATTGCCCTGGCTGACTATACGGCTATGGGTCACTCGGAAGTTTCGATGCGAGAAGGCGAAGCTATCGAGCTATTAAAAGTGGGCTGTGCCGGCTGGTGGTACGTGCGCGTCTTAGGTAATTGATACTTAAATGGCGCATGTTTAATACACTGCATGTTTTCACTAAACATACATACATATAGACATACATATATATGTCGAAATTTATATTTTATGAATAATTGAAATTTACTTTCTAAACAGATACCAATGCAGAAGGTTGGACCCCGGGCGCATATCTGGAATCGATCAATCGAAAGTCGTCAAGATCATCGAGCTGTAATCAGGAGCGAATAATTCAAAAATAAATTACTCAACACTGGAACTTGCTTATCTCCATCTGAAAATCAAATGAAGTCGAGCTGCTTGACGTCGAGTTTTCAAAACTAAATCTATCGCCTTTTAAAATAGATATCAGTATTTGAGCTTCTTCTTCTCAAAGGTCACACTTTATACACTCTTTTGATATGCTTACACTCTCGGAATCTAATCGAAAAACCTAAAGGAAAAACTTAAAAAAAAATCTCCATTCTGAATCTAAATAACCTTCCATTTCGTATCTGAATACCCTCGCTTTGGCAAAAGTGTAAATTGTGGATAAACAAGAAAGTAAATTAATTATATTAAATATATGTTAGTTTATAAGAAATTTCTTGTTGTTAATTTAAATTTAAATGGAAAAACATGCAAATATTTATATATATATATATAGTTATATTAAGAATCTATGGCTTATGTATGTATGTAACTAGCTAGTTTCTAGTCCATTTTCATCGCTTTTATGTATTGATGTACGTGCGCTCTATAGTATTTTGAGGACTGTTACAATGATTGTTAAGGACAACTTGTCGAATATTTCTTGAAACTTTATCAATATTTTAAAACATGGCATTCAAATAAAAAATAATATATTTATATAAATATACGTTTATGAAAATACGCCTAAGTATGTTTAATATATATATATACATAAATAAATATTACTAAATAACCGAAAAACGGCAAAAACTTACTTCTTTGTTTTTACATTGATATAATCGTCGTTTAGTCGAGGGTGGAAAGATTGAGATGACAACAAACAAATAATAATAATAAATAAGATATCTAATTAAAAAATATATATTAAATGAAATAAAAAGTAGTTCATTTCAATCCAATTTTATTTCCACTTTTTGTTAGCACAATCAAGAGGCTAAGCTTTAGCCACACTCATAAAACACAAATAAGCAACATGTTAATTTTGTTCAATATATATATATATTTATTTCGTAGATATTAAACAATTTGAACGAATTTATAGGATGACACCCCAATAATACCGCAAAGCTAACGATGATAACTTTGTTTAATACAGGCATCAGGTTGGGAATACATTTTTTTACAATTGATTTAGCTGACGTACAGTATGGATACAGATTGACTCTGAGATTGTTTTAACTAACGGCGGAACTAGATGATACAAAATTGTTGCTTTTGCTTTACACGTTTGGACCGATACAGCGAGAGAGTAGAACTAAGAAAGGAATGTGTGATTATTATGAACAAAACAATTGTATTACGTACATATTTATACATACATTTGACTTAAATATTATCATATTCAATTCAATTTAAACTTTAGCAACAAAAACTTTGGGGATATTATACAGTAAATAAACAAATTTCTTCAACATGAAAACATTTCAATACTAATTGTGATTAGATGCGATCAGCAGCAACGCCGATTGCACACAAGTTACATTTTGTTGTAGTTCTTGATGTTTCTTTTCTTTAATGGATTGTTGCATCGCACTCACGCCAAGCAACATTGATTTTGAAGTTGAAGCACAGATTTTAGTTGGCAGTCACTCTGCTGTTCATGTAAAATTGTTGCGCAGAGAGCAGCAGAGTCAAGACGTAAATGCACGCCGCAATCCAGCAGTTGTAGGCATTCTATAAAAAAGAGAAAATTTATTTAGTCACAATGCCATGGAATACTTAAGTATGTATGTATGTATGTATGTATAAATTTGCATGTGTATACACAAAATGCATATATTCATATCGTGCTTCACAAACGGAACATTAAATTTATCTTGTCCGCATTCTGAAGTCCTCACAACTCCCAAGGGGTTGTAAGAACATGTATGTACCTAATATTTACACACAAACATACATACATACATGTATGACTCGACATTGAAACACCAACCTGATTGTATGCAGCATTCGCTGCCGTATAGAATTCATCCAAGGTTTTGTACTCCTCAGCTAGTGGCAAATCCTCAATTAGTGCCACACTGTGTATGTAAAAGAACAGACCCATGAGCACCTACAAAAATAAAACCGATTATTATGTGAATATTTTGGTCTTGTGACTCTTCCGTATGACCCCCACAAAACAAACCAAATTCACCAGCACACCCACTTACCAACTGCACAATGCCCCAAACGGAGATAATCAATCCGCATAGGGAGCATTTCGGACCACAAATTTTCATTTTGCTAGCTTCGTTAAACGCTGCTCGACGGGTTGATGTAAATAAGTTCCTTTTAAATTGGAATTCGCGTCGATAGACTTTTTTCGCAGAAGCTAGCAAATGTCAGGTGAAAATCATGTGACAGTTTGTGGTGAGTTTAGTGTGACCAACTGGAAACATTTTTAATATATTTTATGGCTTTTTGATATACTAAAAATACTGTGTATAAACTGAACAAATACTGGTATACATCTATTATAATATATTTATAAATAATGATGAATATTTAAAAATTTGATAGATATCTATTTGGTAAACCGCGATTGATCCAAGTTAAGCATTTTTCGATTTTTTTTCTGTTATTATATTTTGTTACTTAGGTCGTAACGTGTACAACATACCAAACAATACACACACACATACTGACACATAAACAAGTAAACAGATTGTCAACAAAGTAAAAAATTGTCCAGAAACATAAACTGTAAATAATTAAAACTCAAAATTACTGTAAAAATCACCTATGCCATCAGTGTATCACGAAAAACAAATGAGGCAGTTATGTGCCTTACATGCATTAAACAATCTCTTTCAAGGCGATCAATCCTATACTAAAGGGGAACTGGATGATATCTGCAATAATTTGAGTCCAAATGTATGGATTAATCCACATCGCTCTGTGCTGGGTCTTGGAAACTATGATATTAATGTTATCATGACTGCGTTGCAAAAACGGAACTGTGAAGCCATTTGGTTTGATAAAAGAAAGTAAATATTAATGTCTAGTGAAGCTCTTTTAACTCTAGTAACTACTGCATTTGTAATTTCACTTAGGGACCCTTCCATTATAGACCTTGATTCAATTATTGGCTTCATCTTGAACATTCCATCTGATTATAAATTCGGAGTAATTACCTTGCCTTTGCGTAGACGACATTGGATAGCTGTACGTCGCATCGGGGATTCGTACTACAATTTGGACTCGAAACTCCGACAGCCGGAACTGCTGGGTAATGAAGCGGATATGTTACAGTTCTTGCGGGAACAGCTTTCTGATGAACTGCATCAGCGGGAACTGTTTCTGGTACTCGAACAACAAAGCGGCGAGAATACCGATCAGCGCTGGATCAAACAGTCCTATAGAAAGGCCGTTGTTTGACCAGAACAACGATCTGTATATTCTAGTCAATATATGGCCTATGTTGAAGGGATTATCAAAGCTCAATCGAAAATTTACAGTGTTAAAAGTAAAAGAATGAATGAGTTCTTTCACAATTTAATTGCAAATAATTAGAAAGGTACAACTTGAATTTGATAGATGTATCAAAAGAATGAATATAGTTTAGATCGAGGCACTTCTTTTTTATCAAAAGGGAGATAAATTATTGAAGTTGGAATATTGTTGATAAAGGTTGAATTTTCGAGGAATTTAATTACAATTATTTGATGAATCTTAGCTTAAGCTCATTGATTTTATATACAAATACATTTATAATAGTAATTGATTGCTATCAATATTTGTATATATTCAATTGATAAACAATGTAGGTTATCAAGGAGTTCGTTTAGGTACTTCTTGACTAGGGCACAGTTAAATGGATAATATTCAATATGCACAAAATGAATGCATGAATAATTTGTTATTTAACAATGAATTTTCTTTTGTTGTGTGTAAAAGCATTTTATTATTAAAATATAAATACAATTGCTGCATTATAGGAAAATAATATAATAAAACATTTATAAAAAGTTTTGTGTAAAATATGGAATGATTCAAAATTTTATATATAGAGATTATACTATATATTCGAGGCAAATTGGACTTAAACTAAAGACAATGAAGGCGCATACTTAGAGATTTGCTTTTACAATTGGACGGATTGTTATATACTATTCGTTCGGAGATTCGAAGTAGACCTCATTTATGGACGTATTTGTGGTTACAACTCTTGTGCACTTAGATGTCCGTTTGAATGCTGCCTTGGGCTGGTGCTGTGGGCAGACGTGCTCCTGGCTGTGGGCGACGCGGACGGCTGGGCTCTGGAGCAAAATATGACGGCTGCGCGGGCGCCGAAGGTGGCGCGGCCGAGATTGCAGCTGCTGCCTGACTCTGATAGTAGTCATCGCCGTATTCGCTTATTTCCCGGTTGCTGATCTCGTTGAGGCGCTTGTAGCGCTCACGGCGTGCTTCCACCAGATAGAGTATGCCTGCGGGCAACAGCATGACGGCTCCAACTACGCCCAGGGCAAAGGACCAGCCCATATCGTTGTGTTGCCAGCCAGGCATCCAGTCGCGCGAATCGCCCTTGGCTCCGAATATGACCACAGCAATGAAACCGAATATGGATGCCAATACCTGGCAGGTGCCAATCGTAAGCAGCAACACCACGTAGCGATCGTCATCGCGAGATGTGCGCAGGAACGACAACGTCAAGGGCAGGGCCAGCAGGCACATCACAAAGCAGAGCGTGGCAAAGAGCTGGACAGCGATATAGAATCCAGGCAGTAGGAAATCGTGTATTATGTAGTATTCCTCCTCGAAGACCCACATGCAGCCAGTAAAGTCGGTGTCGTAGAATCGATGTATGTCCTGGAAGTGGTTGAAGCACACCTCCCACAGACCCAGGTTCGTGAAGCGTGGATTCTCCAGACGGCCATCGGTCACCAGCCAATAGGGCGTAGCAAAGGCAATAACAAAAAGTAGAAACGAGACTGTGGATATGCCTAGGGCGACTCGAGTGCTGCGGTTGGAGGCACCCATTGCCTGGCTATTGATTGATTTACTTTAATGTAAAATTGCAGCAAACAAAAACAAACAAATGTAACTAGGCAATAAATAACAGAGAGCAAACTAATACAAAAAAATTATTGAGTCAGTAACACACAAAACACGCCCCGACCAGTGTGACCAGAGTTTCAGTTCAAATTTACTCAATTGATGGCGTTGCCACATCGCTGGCAGAATCAGCATACGTACGCGGCAACCCTGCAGAGTCTCTTGTTTTGTGGCATAAAAACTTGTTTGCGAAAGCAAACGAAGAAAAAATGTGTGTTTCTGGTGTTTAAATCAGCGTGGATTGCCGAAAATCATAACCCCTCACTGTTTGAGCGCGCTCTTCGTTTGTTTATTACGCTGCAATTAAATACGCTATTGTTTATAACGGGTGCGTCGCGTTGCATTTACACGAACGCCGACGGTAACAATATGGCTTCCGAAATCGCGGTAGTAAACATTGGAAACTTTGAAAAGATTCAAAACTTTTTAAATGATACCGCATACAAGGAGATACTCGAGAACAGCGAGAACTTCAACACGCGGTTGTGCATCGAGCGGCGGCTGCGAATGCCGTTCCTCGATCCCCAGACTGGCGTCGCACAGACGCATTGCGCTCTTTTTATGAAGCGAAAGCAGCGGATGCCCGGCTTTCGACATGGCCAAATCTACACGTATCCCTCGGCACGATGGCGCAAACCCAAGCGCCAATATTTACTCAATCCACACCATAGCTACCGCGCCTACCAGTACCGCGAGCACCATCTGACCCACCAGCACCAGCATCATCACGTGCCGCCGTCTGGTCCTGGAACGGTCAATGCACGTGATCATCATCAGACGGAGAGTGCAGGTAGGATATGCAAGAGATACACTTAAAGATATCATACACACCCATGCTTGCACACACACTCACGCACATGCACCCAACAAAACTCGTAGTAAAATCAATAAATCTCTTACAATTGTTTTTGCCTTTGTGTTCAGTCACATCCTTACCCACCACCCGCACTACCACCGCTGCATGGTGGTGCTAAAGTCCTAAGACCGCCAAATAACAAATTTAAGGAATGCATAAAAAGTGATATTTCGGTTATTTACTATTTAATTAAGAATTTAAATTTAATTAACAAAATTAATAAATATTTTAAACCATTTTGAATAATATATAAATGTATTATTTTTAAATACTTTAATATTGATAAATATTTATCACATTAAATTTATTTATTATTCTACATCAATTGATTTATTAAAATTGATAGCCATAAAACATCATTTATATCAATGTCAATTAATATTTTTCAACTGCATTTCATTCAAATTGGCCCACTGTTCAATTAGAACTGCTAAACATGTGTGAGGCTTTATGAAGCTGCACATTCTATACACGCACACACACATATACATATAAATATATAAATGTATTCATGTAAGTGTGTGTGTATCGTTGTATGTGTGTACACAGCAGCGCGTAGCCACCCTATAAGAAATAGCTGCAAGCATATTTACAATGCGTATTGGGGGCTGATTTATATATATTGCCATTGTATGTATGTATGTATGATTAGCAAACACATACATACATACATGCATGGGACATGCATGCATATGTATGGTTACACATATTTATTTGTATTCTACATTGTTGCAGCTATTGCGGCCACAGATGGAAATTCTATGGGCGCTTCAGGGGACAATGATAGCAAGGACTCTCATGCGAATGCGGAGAAGGATTGGTTCCATGAGGACATGGACTCATCGCATTACCATCACGCCGATGACTATGAAGACGACTTTGACTCTGACAATGACTTTGATGAGTCGTACAGCAGTCGAGGAAAACGCAAGCGTGGCTCACGACCCCGCCGTACGAATGCAAATGTGGATGGCACACCGAAGCGGGGACGCAAAGGTGGCGGTAAGCAACACTTGTGGCCCAATTGTGTTGCCAAGTGTTAATTAAGGCCTTCACTCTCTTGCAGGTAATCGTCGTCGGAATGCAGCTGAAGGCGATACACCGGATCGAAGGAGGCGCGGCGGTGCTGGCAATAATGCAAATACTTCGGCTGCAGCTGCAGCGGCTGCCGCAGCCGTGGCACACGCGGCCAGCACAGCGGCGGCAGCAGCAGCCACTGGACTATACACAAATCACTCTAACTCAGCATCACCAATTCCCATTATTGATGAGACCTCACAGTCGGCCCTGGTGATGACGCCCACTTTACCCACATCGTACGAAAAGTCTTCTCTCAATGATGGTGGCGCCTCAAACGACTCAATCCCTTTGGCCACCATGGCTAGCATGGCTAGCATGTCGACAACGACCACTGCTACTCCAGCTATATACGCAACGGTAAACGCGCCACCAGCTAATCCATTGGCTAGTCCCAAAAAGCCCAAGCTACGAACGGAGCGTGAGGTGGCGCAGCCATCGCCCTACTGCGACTTCTGTTTGGGCGATCAGCGAGAAAACAAGAAAACCAATATGCCCGAAGAGCTAGTGTCTTGCTCCGACTGTGGTCGCTCTGGTCATCCGTCGTGTCTGCAGTTCACGCCCAACATGATAATATCGGTGAAGCGCTACCGCTGGCAGTGCATTGAATGTAAATATTGCTCGATCTGTGGCACCTCCGACAATGATGATCAGCTGCTTTTCTGCGACGACTGTGATCGCGGCTACCATATGTATTGTCTGTCGCCGCCTTTGGTAACCCCACCCGAGGGCTCTTGGAGCTGCAAGCTCTGTATGGAGGAGTTCCACAAGCACAAGTAAAATACAATAAACAATTGAAGAGCGAACAAAGGCGTCGGTCGGTCGTTCGGTCGTTTGGTCGTTTTGTGGGTCGATCGGTATAATTGTAAATGTATTTTTTATGTTTTCACTTACATGCAGCTTTCGAAATTGCGTATGCCTAATTTAAATTGTCATTTAAGTATTCCTTAGTAAGTCTCTAATCTTATGTACCTATATAATTTAATGATTTTGTATTCGTAACTACGCTTAAATGGAACGCCCCAAGTATTCTAAGTATTCCCAGACTTCCGCGCTAAATGAATTTACAATATTCATTATCTAAGGTCATTATTAAGCGAATCTAATCCTTGTCGTATCATTTATTTACAAATTTTTTATGTAAATCTTATGAGAGTAATCTATGAAATTATAATTAACATAATACCAATAAATACTGCATGCCTTTTTGCATAATTCACTGGGTCTCGTTTCTCAATGCCGATAAAATTTATTGAACAGATTATTGATACCCTGTATTATCTTGATTACTTATATATGTTATTGTATAATATTATATGGTTTGTTAATAGGATTTTTGTCTATGGTCAAACGCGAGATTTTTTCGAAATTATTATAGTTTTTATTTAATATTGCAATTCCAAATAACAAATTTGTTTTAGCGGTTAAGATGCAAATTCTTATTTTGATATTATTATTTAAAATTAAATCAAACCATGCTCTGTTTAATGATTATCAAATTGTTTTAAGATTCTAATAGTATTTTTATTTTATTATTGACAAAAGGTATTTTAAATAGGTTTGCTTTTATTTAAGCTTACAGAATCATATCTCATCAGCAGACACTCCAATTCGATTGAAAATAAGATTGTTTTATAAAGATGGCAAAATGTAATTAAATATAATTTGTAATTATTTTTTTTTACTATAATAAATAGTTTTTTAGTTCTTATAAGAGATGCCTTTTAAATATCACAAAATATAGCTTAGACATTTAAATTAAATTTTGTATTTATTGTTTTTATTCTTTTCTATTTTCATTTAATTTGAAACCAAATTTCTGTTAGCTTAAAAATAAAATTATTTTGTCCATGGAAAAGAACTGGAAATATCGCCCAATGGTCACTGCCTCGGTTTTGTGGATGTGAAAGCCTTTCTCAGCACCTAAGTGTCAATTAAAGACTAATTTCAATGTAGCTCAAAAATTTGGCGAATGCTCTAACTAATAGTTCTAATTAGAGTTCTAGCAGAGGACTACTAATTGCCAAGCTGCAACTCAGGTGGTTGCAGTTGCCAAATTGCCGATCGTTGCATTTAGTCCGTCGCTATGCGTTGCATCGTGTGGTACATTTCGCTGCTGGCTCTGCCAGGCTTCGTATTGGCTGGGCGCACCAAACGGTTTCTCATCTTTCCACGTCAGGCGCCCACCAGACATCTGGTAAAACAGAATCAGAACTCCAACTATAATTCTGTTTAGTCTAATTTGATTGTGCTTCTCTTTGTATTTAGTTTATTGCGGGCATAGGCATTCCGGCGGATTTGTCCTATGAATCCTTGGTCATTGGCCATGTACTGAAAACCGAATTTTTTCTGCCCTACAATGCCACCGTATACAGGCAAAATCCCTACTTGCCGGAATATAAACACCAGAGTGTTCCCATTAATAGTAATTTGCACCAATTGCGACTCCTGCAAAAGCAGCCAAGCCAATTGCGTTGGCAGATTTATGCATACATTGAGCACATGTTGAATGGGTGAGTAACTTATAAATATACATATACGTACATGTATATATGTATGTGTATATTTTCATATCATTTCCAGTTATGGCTATAATGGCCACGAGTGTATGCTGCAAGCTATTTGTGAGGCGAACACAATTCAGTTCTCAAAGGACTTTAGCGTGGTGCAGGAGCTGCTGCACGTGCTCTTCGCGTAAGTTATAATAAATTAATGCTTTACAAACTGTTTACAAAATTTATATACAACAACAGGCCCTCCACCTCCCTGAATGCAGCCGCTCCAGAGGCATATGACTTCACTTTGGCCGAGAAGGCAAACAAAAAGTCGAATAGTTGTGAGATCTATGATTGTAATCTAAAGCTACTCGATTGGTTTTCTCAAGTAATGCAGATACTTTGAAATACTTCAATTTTAAATATGTACTTTCATGAAAAATAATTTTTATAAATAAATATTTTTGTATTAATTAAAATGTCAGCGAAATCATATATATTATTACTTCCATTACAATATCTGAAACTTTCGCTGAGCAGAGATTTTTTGGTGTAACATTCAAATTTTGCAGCCCAAAGTCTGTAAGAAAATTATTTATATGTATCTGCTGAGTGTGCCTAATATTTGCGCCATCAGTGTAATCAAGCTCTGTTCACTACCACACACACGAGTAAAGCTAAGCAAAACCCAAACAAAACTGAAATTGGAAAGCATACAATTAATAAAAACAGTGGAAGCATGACAACTCAAAGAACTTACTTGGACTTGGTCTGATCAGAGTGTCATAGATGGAGTTGCCGCATCTCTTGAAAAGACTGCAAAGGCTCTCAGACATGACTGCATATACTTCAATTACAATCGAGGAAAACGATCCAAATTTAGAATTTTTATTCCGATTTCTGACATATATTTATCAGAGCTGGGAGAACTAAGAGACTAGAAAATCAAATAAAAAGGAACTACAATTTCCAGATACATTGTATATACATTGCATATACAAATTCTGTTAGTTCTCAGCTTGTAGGCTATAAAATTTTTGAATCAGAATTTATTGAACCCTTTCGAACAGATTAATAAAAATTTTCCATTAATTGTTAATTTCCGGTTTTAGTAAATATATACACATAGTGTATAAGAATTCAGTGAGTAGATATTTTATTGAGAGCAATGCGTAGATCAGTTAGATACTTGAATAGAGTACCCCGATCACTGCGTCGAGCTCTGCATGTTGAGGATATTGTGCGGGGATACTGTGCCGAGGCCGCATCCCATAGAGAAAGTCCACAAGTTGTCGCCGAGCGTGACTATAAGTACAAGGAAGGCCAGTTCTACCATGGATTCCAGTGTGAGCGAGTCGAGTATATTCCAGACTTTGAGCTGACATCCCACACGCTGCGGCATAAGGAGTCGGGCCTGGAGCTGTGGTACATCGATCGCAACGATACAAATAATGTATTCTCGATCAATTTTCGGACTCCGCCCGAGGATTCAACGGGCGCGGCGCATGTCCTGGAGCACCTGGCCTTGAATGGCTCCGCCAAGTACTCAATTCGTGATCCATTCTTCAAAATGCTGAATCGTTCTGTCGCCACCAATATGAATGCGCTGACTGCGCCAGACCAAACCGTCTACATCTTCTCCTCCAGAAATGAGACAGACTTCAGAAATATTCAACGTATTTATTTGGACTCTGTGTTCAGGTGAGTTCTATGAAACTTTTTTGTTATAAAGAGTCCCTTAAGCATCTCTCTTCTCCTCCCCCAGGCCAAATCTACTTTACTTGGACTTCCTCCAGGAGGGCTGGCGCCTTGAGCACAGCCATGTGCATGATCGGCAATCGGAGATTATTATCAAAGGCATCGTCTACAACGAAATGATTGGCATATTTTCAGAGAATAGCCGATTGTTTAGAAAAGGTCTGATGAGCAACTTGTTGCCAGAACTCGCCTACAAGTACACAGCCGGCGGAGATCCTCTGGAAATACCCAATTTAACGCATTCCAGATTGGTTCAATACCATCAAAAGTATTATCATCCGAGCAATGGGCGTATTTTTTGTTACGGCTCCTTCGACCTGATGGAAACTCTGGAGTTCCTCAATGAGGAATATCTATGTGACTATGATGCTATCGACACGTCCTACAGTTATATACCGCTCCATCCGCGTTGGTCCTTCCCCCGTAACGTCCACTTGCCATGCCGTCTGGTTAACATGGGCGTATCCAAGGAGAAGCAAAGTCAAATTGGCTGTGCGCTGTTGATGTGCGATAGGACCGCCGTGCAGGAGGTGTTCGAGCTGAATGTCCTGACGGAGCTATTGATTCGTGGCCCAAACTCAGCCTTCTACAAGGGCCTGGTTGATCCAAACTTCTCCGGAGGCTTCAATCGGCATACGGGCTACTACTTCACCAGTCGAGATACGTACTTTGCTGTGGGCCTGCAGGATGTACGCATCGCAGACTTTGACAGATTCCACGAGCTGTTCCAGCAGACGATTCACAAGACAATTATCGAAGGCTTCGATCCCATGCATGTGGAGAGTGTTCTGCATAATCTGGAACTGAATGTGAGGCATCGTAGGGCAGACGATGGTAACAATATCCTATTCAATTCGATGGCATTGTGGAATCATGGCGGTGATGTCTTTGCCAATCTGAGAATATTGGAAATGATGGGCCGGCTGCGTGTCAGACTAAGGGATAATAAAAACTATTTACAGCAAAAAGTGGAAAAATATTTCCTCGCCAACTCGCACAAGCTCACGTTGACCATGTCGCCGGATGAATCGTATAGTGAGAATTTCCGAAAAGCTGAAAGGAAGTTGATATACCAAAAAATCAATGAGCTTAGCCCAGAGAAATTGGGTAAAATATATCAGAATGGTCTTCAATTGGAAGCGGCTCAAAAAGCTAAGGAAAATACGAACATTTTGCCCTGCCTTTCGCTGGACGACGTTGAGGAACCAATGGGAAATCCCCAGCTAACGGAGCGACTCATTGAGAGCGTGCCCACCCAACTGTGCCAGGTGCCCACCAATGATATCACCTACCTGAACTGCCTTTTCAATATCACGGCCCTGAGTCACGAAGATGCTATGCTCGTGCCTCTCTTCTGCAGTGTATTCAAGAATATGGGCACCAGCAAGCACGACTTTCGGGAATTCGACAAAATGATTCTATCGAAAACGGCGAACTTTGACTTTAAGCTGAAAGTTGTGGAAAATGTTAAGGACGGCAAGTCCTATAAAATGGGTTTGCTGATGACGACCTATGCCCTGGACAAGAATGTGAAGGACATGTTTGCTCTATGCGAGGAGCTGCTTCTCGACTTCGAGCTAAACGATACGGATCGCCTGAAGATGCTCATTGAAAACTACATATCCAAGCTATCCGTAGGCATTGCAGTTTCTGGGCATACATATGCCATGCTGTGCTCCGCTGCCCTAGTCAGTGATGCGGGCAAACTGAAGTCCCATTTACTGGGCATTGACCACATCGACTTCATGAAAAGGTATACTCAACAGAATAGTACGGAGGAGATCCGTGACAGATTAAAGGCTATTGGAGCGAAGGTGTTCAGCAAGAGCAACATGCGAGTGGCTATAAATACTTCGGAGGCTTTTCAACCAACTGCTCTGGAACATTATCGAACTTTTCTGAAAAAGCTACCAAAGCTCAAGAATATGAATAAGAAGAGTCAGTTGAAATTATTCAAGCCGAGTTTTCACCATTATGCTATGAATTTCCCTGTTAACTACTGCGCCAAGTCATTTTTCGCAGTGCCATACTTGCATGAAGATCATCCGGTGCTGCGCGTGCTGGCCAAACTCGTTTCGGCCAAGTATCTGCTGCCTGTGGTGCGGGAGCAGAATGGAGCTTATGGTACGGGCGCGAGAATTGGCTATGATGGGCTGTTCCACTTCTACAGCTATCGTGATCCGCACTCTACGAGGACTTTGGATGTGTTCGACAAAACGTATGAGTGGCTGACAGCCATGAGCGATAAGCTGGATCACCAGATGCTATTCGAGGCCAAGCTGGGAGTGCTGCAGTTGCTCGACTGGCCAACAGCGCCTGGTGAAGTTGGCCTGGATTACTTTATTTTAAGAGTTTCGCATGAGGAGTATTGCAAGTATCGTTCTCGCGTTCTAAGTGTAACTGCAGATGAGGTACGCTCGGTAGTTGATAAGTACTTTAAAAAAGAGCCGCGTCATGTTGGTAAATGTATTTTAGGCCCAAAAAGCGAAAGATTAGCTTTAAAATTGCAGAACGCATGAAGTGAACATTGTGTAATTCTAAGCATGTGTATTTAATTTAGATGTAAATAAATTATTCTTTGCTTAACCGTTAAATGCAAACTTTCCTAAATTTACATAGTTCGAAATTCGATAGCTTACTCTAATAATCGTTTAAATGAACTTATTTAGTATTTTAGTCTCAATTAAAATACCCAAAAATACTAAGGTCAATTTGCCTTTTGCAAATATATCGATAGACTTCAAGAATATTGACTGATGAAATCTCATATGTTGTGTGCAGATGACTGAAGCTTAAAAGATTGTATTTCCTAAAATTGGTAAGTTGCATTATCTTTCTGAGTGCAAGCTGAATGTATAAAACATAAAAAAGATTTAGTGTTTGGAATTTTAATCAGATTGTAAGTCAAAATAAGTAAATTTATCGTGTACAGAAAGGCACACAATATAAATTGAGCGAATACAGCCACACACAACATATACATTGACAGGCACACACATTTATATGCATACACGCAAACGCAATGAATGCCGGCTGATGTAACTGAAACTCGTGTCGTGTTTTATGTTGGTTTTATTTAACTAATGTCGCTTGTGTTGTGTTGATCTGGATAACATCTGCAACTTGTATTGTGTACTTATCATTTATAGACTCGCACAAACGAACGAACAAAAAACGAAATAAAATATGCTCTCACGTCTGCAATGGTTGAAGGCGTTGCCGCGCCCACTTCGAGTGCTGCCTGGGCAAACGGCTGGACGATGCTTTAAGTCAACTCAAGTCACACTCAACGAGGGCAAGAGAGGCCCCAGTGCGGAATCAAAACTGGCACTAGACGGCGATTTGCCCCATATTATGGGGGATCGCAAATATAAATATAGCGAAGGCCAGGTGTATCACGGCTTCCAGTGCGAACGCATCGAATATATACCCGACTTTGAGCTGGTCTCGTGTACGCTGCGGCATTTGGGCACGGGGACGGAGCTTTGGTATATCGATCGGAATGATACGAATAATGTATTTTCCATTAATTTCCGTACCACTCCATTCGATTCGACGGGGCTGCCGCATATATTGGAGCATCTCGCATTATGTGGCTCCAAGAACTTCCCCGTTCGTGATCCATTCTTCAAAATGCTAAATCGTTCGGTTGCTACGTTCATGAATGCCATGACTGGACCGGACTATACGTTATATCCATTCTCAACCATGAACGAGGTGGACTTTAGGAACCTGCAAAAGATTTACTTGGATGCGGTATTTAGGTGAGTTGTATTATAAATATTGTTGCTAATAATAATTAATTGTATTTACGATATTGTAGGCCAAATTTAGCTTACTTGGACTTTTTGCAAGAGGGCTGGCGTCTGGAGCACAAGGAATTGAACAATCGCGACTCTGAGCTGGTTATTAAAGGCGTTGTCTACAACGAAATGAAGGGAGCTTTCTCGGAGAATTCGCAGGTGTTCATACAAAATCTGCTTAACAATATGCTGCCAGATCACACGTATGGCTACGTGTCTGGCGGCAATCCACTGGAGATTCCCAAATTGACGCACACGGATTTGGTTAAATTCCATCAGAAATACTACCATCCAAGCAATGCGCGCATGTTCTGCTATGGATCATTTGACTTGTTGAAAACGCTGGCATTTGTCGATAGTGAATATTTGTCCCAGCATTCGCGCATAGATAATTCCTATAGCCGAATACCAAATCAAAGGCCTTGGTCACAGCCACGCAACGTACACATTCCCAGTCGACTGGATAACATGGGCGCCACCTTCGATAGACAGAACCAGATAGCTATTGCGCTGCTGATGTGCGATTCGACGGATATACAGGAGAGCTTTGAATTGAATGTCTTATCCGACTTATTGATTCGTGGCCCTAACTCCGCTTTCTATAAGAGCTTAATAGAACCAAATTTCTCCGGAGGCTACAATCAGAGCACGGGCTTTTCCTCGGATTGCAGGGACACATACTTTGTCGTGGGCCTGCAAGACCTAAGGGTTGAGGACTTTAAGAGATTCAACGAACTTTTTGATCAGACTGTGCAAAAAACCATCGAAGAAGGCTTTGAGGCTCAGCACATTGAGAGCATTCTGCACAACTTGGAATTGTCGCTGAAGCATCAGAGCCCCCACTTTGGCAATGCCCTGTTGTTTAACTCGACGTCTCTGTGGAATCACGATGGTGATATTGTGAGCAGCTTACGGGTGTCGGAGATGATATCCCAGCTACGTTGCTGCCTCAAAGAGAACAAAAACTATCTCCAGCAGAAAATGGAGAAGTACTTTGCAAATAATACTCATAAGCTTACGCTAACAATGTCGCCGGACGAAATGTATGAGGAGAACTTCAAGCAGGCTGAGGCCGAGATGCTAAGACAGAAAGTGAGCGCACTCGACTCCAAGAAGCGCAAAGAAATATATACGAATGGCCTCAAACTGGAGGCCTCTCAAAAGGCCAAGGAGTGCACCGATGTCTTGCCGTGCCTAACGCTGAGCGATGTCAAGGAGCCGCCCAAGCTACCAACGATTGAGACGAAAACCATTGTTGACGTTCCCACGCAACTGTGCAAAGTGCCCACCAATGAGATTTCCTACCTTAAGTGCCTGTTCAATATAACAGGGCTGACTCGAGATGAACTCATGCTTATCCCGCTATTCAGTAATGTCATTGACGATATGGGCACCAAAAACCACAATTTCCGTGACTTCGACAAGCTCATTCTGTCGAAAACGGCGGGCATTGACTTTAAGTTGAACTTTGTTGAGAGTGTAAAGGATGCCAAGTCGTATCAGTTGGGCCTGATGATGACGACGCACGCGCTGGATAAGAATGTGAAGGATATGTTTGGGCTGTGCGAAGAGCTGCTCCTCAACTACAAGCTAGACGACACGGATCGCCTGAAGATGCTGATTGAAAACTACATTTCTAATATATCAGTCGGAATCGCCAGCTCCGGTCACTTGTACGCCATGTTAAGCGCCGCTGCGTTGGTCAGCGATGCTGCCAAACTGAAATCCCTGTTGTCCGGCGTTGATCACATCGACTTCATGAAGAAGTATGTGGAGCAGAACAGCACAGAGGATATCCGTGACAGATTAAAGGCTATCGGAGCGAAGGTGTTCAGCAAGAGTAACATGCGAGTGGCCATCAATACCTCGGAGGCTTTTCAACCAACCGCCCTGGAACACTACCAGAACTTCCTGCAGAAGCTGCCCACGCTCAAGGATATGAATAAGAGCAATGAACTGAAACTGTTGGAGCCAAGTTTTCAGCACTATGTCATGAATATTCCTGTCAACTACTGCGCCAAGTCGTTCTTCGCAGTGCCATACTTGCATGAGGATCATCCGGTGCTGCGCGTGCTGGCAAAGCTCGTCTCGGCCAAGTATCTGCTGCCCGTGGTGCGGGAGCAGAATGGAGCTTACGGCGCTGGTGCGAAAATAGGCTCAGATGGCATATTTGCGTTCTTCAGTTATCGCGATCCGCACTCCACGAAGACACTGGACGCCTTCGATAGGACCTACGATTGGCTGCTGGCGGAGAGCAATAAGCTCGATCAGCAAACGCTCTTCGAGGCAAAGCTGGGTGTGCTGCAGCAGCTGGACTCGCCCACAGCGCCTGGAAACATCGGCATCGACTTCTTCCTCTACGGCGTGTCGCAGGAGATGTTTGTGAAGTATCGATCCCGCGTGCTGTCTGTAACACTTGACGAACTGCAAGCCGTCATCGACAAGTACTTCAAGGAGGAGCCCCAACACGTTGGCAAATGTATTCTAGGACCTGCAAACGAGAACCTAGAGCAGGAAACTAAACTGAAATGGAAGATCATATCCTAAATGTGGCGCATTGCAATTCGATAAATCTGACTGTATATATATTATAGATAACCATAAGCTACAGTTGTTCTATTTCTACTTTATATACTTTGTTTCCCTTGTGTAAGTTTTGCGAAGGCAGTTGATTCTGTATGTTAACGATAATTAAAGCAAGTTGTCTTTGTTAAATGGATTTCTGTTTATTGAGACCTGATTTATAAATATATATAAATTTAAATTGTTAATAAATAATATAAATTGTTTAAGTTCGTGTCGATGTCCTGTCCGATTAGAATTTAAGGCAATTGATTGCACTTTCCATTACAATCCAATTGGCTTTGCTTCTCTTCCTCAGCCATGTCTTTGCCGAGGGGCTTCGCCACGGATGCCGCATATTTCGGAGCTGCTGTGGACTTTTTGCACCGTTATGCGTGGATATATCGCGAGTCGAATACGTCTTGCCTCAAGTCACTCGATGAGATGCCTGGCTATATGAAGCAATATTTCCTGGAATTATCAAATGAGCAGCTAAACAGATTTCCATTTGTGCATGAGGCGCTGGAGGACTGCCCCGAGGAGGTGCTGCGCTTTCGCCAAGAGATTGCAAACCTGACGCCCACTGAAGCAGCTGCCCCGGCTGCAGGCGAATCGCCAAGAAAGTCAAAGAGAAATAATTGCAAAATGTCAATCAAGAAATTGCATGAAATTGATAAGTTGGCCTCACACATACATGAGCACTGTCCAGACACAGAGGGCATCATTGATCTGGGGTCTGGGCTGGGCTACCTGAGCGAGGCGCTGCTCCAGTTGAGTGACAATTACCAGATACTCGGCCTGGAAGCCGAGGAGCAACGGATACAAACAGCGCGAGAGAGAACTACGAATTGCAATTCGATTAGCTACGAGCAGCTCCTCATCACAGCCGACGCCAGCTGCTGCGCCCGCATTCAGGAGCATGCAGCTGCACTGGGGCTGGAGCGGGCGCCCACTGCAATCGTTGGCCTCCATGCCTGCGCCGACTTGAGCATCAGCGCAATGCTCCTGTTCCTGCGAATGCCTCAAGTGCGCTGCCTTCACATTATGCCCTGCTGCTACCACAAGCTTGCGCTGAGTGAGGATGGCGAGTCCTTCGTCAACTTTCCGCTGAGCAGAGCTCTGCGGGAGGCCATGTCGGCTGTTGCTGCTCCAGCTCGCTGCTTCCATCGACCCTTCCTGCGCCTGGCCTGCCAGCAGACCAAGTCGCGCTGGCAAAGCGACGCCCGGACACATGTAGCGCATGGCAGTCAAATGTTTCAGCGCGCTGTGGCTGCAGCGCTCTGCGATGAGCAGGAGTCGAGCAGAGTCAGGAGGCAAGGGAGGCCAGCGACTGACTGCCAAGATCCGCATACATTTGCCAGCATTCAGCAGAAATATCAGCTGCACTCACGCGAAACGGGGCTGGGCCTGGACTGGCGGCCCGTGCACGAGCGCCGCTTTGATGCAATTAACCAGGTCTATGGCAATGGGTGTGGCGCACGTCTGTCGGAGGCCTTAACCTGCTTGCAGGCGAGCATCCAGGTAATTTGCTCATTATTTGTCTACCCACCAAGCAGGCTATCAATTGACTCTTTCTCTCTCTCTCACTCAGCTGCTTTGCGAGAATGTGCTACTGTACGACCGTCTGTGCTACCTGCAGGAGCTGGCTGCAGTGCAGCAATTGGAGCTGGCGGTGCGCTATGAGAAGCTATTTGATGAGAAGCTATCGCCACGCTGTCACGTTCTGATTGCCCAAAAGTTGTGATGCGGGCGGTAGACAAAGGAAGAGGGAAGGGGGAGGGGAGCTAAGGAAGTTCCCCGATGACATTGTTGCCAATGCCACTTAATACAATTAGCAAGCACTTCGCCGCTAGCTTAAAATATATACATATATCTCCATCTCACTCCCACTCTCGCGCTCATGTGGAGATGGAGTACTCCGGCGTTTACCGCCATCCGTTGCCAACAATTAAAATCAATGCCAGCTAAGGCAAACTTTTGCCTTACGCCGACTTAATTTCTAGCATTTCTGCATTCGTCGCTCGCCCAAGAAGGCGTTTCAGGTGTAAGTGCTTCGCCTTTTCGCGCTCATTACTTGTATCGGTGCGGGCCTGGCTATGATAATTAAATTTCTTGTACTACTTACGCCGACAAACGTGCCGCATACAAACATATATATCACCTGTACCTGTGCCCCTGTAGGTGTACATATATATGTAAGATAAATATGTCAGCCCGCAGAAATGCATTAGCAGCAATGGAAATTGCTTTGTTATGGCCGAGATTTTTCTGATGAAACAAAAACATTTAAGAATTTAAATGAATTGAGAAGATTGAATGGGCCGAGAAAAGAATTGATAATAAAGTTACTGTTTATATTGAACTACATCTATATAGTGTTAAAGAGTTAAGTTTTTGGGATGAAATATAACATAATTGAAATTTAGATGCAACAACTTTGTTAAAATATTATAAAAAATATTTATAAAAAGAAAATAAATAAATATAGATCAGATTCTAACAGACATAATCTTTAATAATTGTAAGACTTTAGCTAATATAGTCTCTGATATATAAATATAGAAATTACTCGAGCTTATAGAGTCTCTAAAATTCATATGTTTTCATCTAAGCAAAGACAGAATCAAACTGATAATATTGAAGGAAGAGTTCCAGGGATTTTTCGCTTTATAGAATAGATAGAATTCAAATTTTAAATTATTAAATTATTCAATTGTATTATTGCATTGTTAAAGTCCTCTTCAACTTCTCTCCAACTGTATTCCAAGATGATCTGCAGAAGCAATGTCTGGTGCAAAGGAACTTAAGATCTCTGCTGATCGGATTGATTCCAAAGAGTTAAACATCTAATTAGGTATATATCTGTTTGCCTTTATTGAACGTTTACATTATTAGTAGTTGGTTAGGAGCGAAATAGAGTAATACATGCATAATGGAAGTTATTCGTATGCATCACATCATCACATCATATGTAAGTATGTATAGGTTATTCATATGCGAAGCTAAAGGATCCTTTATACCCAGTGAAAGTACAATTTGTAAATATACACATATAATAATGTATACATATATGGATATATATGTATATATTGAGTAAACCTATTATGTTATTTGATACAGATGTATTTATGCATTTTCATAATTTATTGTATGCTTACTTATTTACACAGTTATTGTTGGGTATTAAAACTTTTCCAGCCCCGTTAAAAATTTTAATACCATTTAACAAGATATAAGAATGTGTTCGTGTGTATGGGTGTATGGGTGTGTGGGTGTAGCTGAGAAGCTAATGGATAACAAGGGTATTTAACTAGCCAGAGAATCGTCTGCCAATGAATGCGTCATGCCATGCCATGTCTTACTTCACATTGTTGCTGGCATCCTCCGAGCCTATACTATTGTTGTCCAGTCCCATGTTCAGGTTGAGCTCCTCACTGCCAAGGATAACAAAATATGCAGCAGCAAATGCAGATATTTGAGTCCTACGAACTTACGAATTGACATTGCTGCAGCGATAGAAGTTGCTGATGCCCGTGTAGACGCAGGACATGGCTCGAGCTCTGCTGCTGGGCTTCTCGTTGCTGGCCTCGGTGGCCTCCCGCTCGGCCTTGGCCAGGCCCAGAGCCAGGCTGTTCTGCTCGTAGGGCGAGAGGTATTCATCGCTGCGTTTGCCATAGCGCGAGCCCAGAAAGAAGCGATCGTTGCGCGGCACGATGATTAGGCGTCGCGTCTTCGAGGTGCCCATGCCATTGCCTGCACCGCTATTGCCACTGGAACGGCCATAGCGACTGCCCACAAAGAACGACGGACGTTTGGCCAGGCTGGGGAACTCTGCGAACAACAAATGCGAAAAAGACAAATTGCAACTCCAATTTGACAAAGGCAATCCGATTGAGAGCTAACCGTTGTCCTTGTGCAGCTCATTGTCCACATACGCCGCATCCGGGTCGGCTGCCCAAGCACCTTGCGCCAGGAAGGCCACAAAGGTGAGCAATAAAATGCCTATAAAAGATTTTCGTGACTTGCTCTGGAATGCCATCGACGGGGAGGACATGCTGGCCAGCAGATTTGCGCTCTGAAATGAAATAAATTCAAATCAGCATCTTGGGGGCGAATGATTGGGTGTGTGTGTGTGTGTGTGTGGGTGGGTGTGGCCATTAAATGCATAATAACTAAGGTGATATGCTTCGTCGGGTTATCTCAACAATATATCGAAGAAACACAAACCATATTTCTTGAGCATGAGATTAGCTGAGGGGAGCTATAGACGCAGTATATGAATAATTGGTGCGAGCAGGGAAATTTTTCTATATGGACTTTTTATTAGGTAAAAATTTTAGTAAAGGTAGTAATTATTTAAAAATAATTTATTTTCTTTTATTATATTTTTAAAATATATTTTAATTGTATTTAAATTACTTTTCCTTTATCCATATATTTTATTTAAATTTAAAAAGAAAAGTTCAGTGAAATTTATGTAAAGGCGTATAATTATTTAAAAATAATTTATTTTCTTTTATTATAGTTTTAAAACATATTTTAATTATATTTGAGTTATTTTTCCTTTATCCATATATTTTATTTAAATTTAAAAAGAAAAGTTTAGTGAAAGTTATGTAAATAATATTATTTTAATATGAATATATTTTATATATATTAGAAAATATTTATTAGATATTTTATTATTTTAATATTTACTATTTTTGTTGTTGTAACGGTTCTACACTTAATAAAATAAAAAAAAAAAAAACTTATGTACTACGGTATTTATATACATAGATGAATTAATTTTAAGTAGCTTTTAATTTCATATTAACCCCAATAAATTAAAAAATAATGAATTATACGTATATCAATTGCATAAACTATATATATTTTGCCTTTTGCCTCTCAGTCAACCCTACGCCCCTTTTTCCACTTGCCTTTGCACTTAAAATTAGTTAACATAAAGCCACTCAATATAGTTGGTATATGCCCCGTCTCAGTCGCACCGCGGAAACACCTGTAAGCCGGCATCTGCGGCATCTGCGGCATCAGCTTGTCTTATTCAATTTGTATTCATTAATACGAGTAAAAGTAAAATTCGAGTTTGTCCAGGAGAGGGCATGACGACGTGCATTAACGGTAATTACAATCGCTGCCGTTGGCCAGCGCGAAACGTTTGGCAGCTGAGCTGGGAGCAGAGCTGCGATGAGCTGCATCAGTGGTATCGAGTGACGCCTCTGCCTGCTCTGTATTTTTCAGGTGTAATACCTTTGGACACGTATACTGTGCTGCGTGGCTCTGGCGTTATAATTAAATTTTATTTTTTCATAACATTAATAAAGGCACCAAAGACTGCGGCGCCCACGCATCTACTTATAGAGATTTATGCCTGTCCATATGAACACAGCGAAGAACTCTGGACATACATAATGCCGTCAGTCAAGTGCAATAATTGAAAGTGAATGAGAATGCAGTGGGCGAGTTGCTCAGGCTACAGAATACCCTGTAGTTGCAGTAGTAGAGTAAATTAGCTGTGGAGAATATGGGGAGTAAGCTGAAGTAAAGCTGTTTGCACTCATTCTGCGAGTGCAACAATTGAGTGGGGTAGTAGAGACTAGCAAATACCCTGTAGTTGGAGTGGAGCTGTGGTTGAATATGAATGCAAAAGCAATAATTGAAAGTAGAGTAAGACTATATTAGCTGAGATTGTTCGACTCGAGACATACTAAAGCTGGAGTAGAGCTGATTTCATGTATTCTTCTCACTTAATCTAAGAGTGTTATTAAATATATAATGAAGGAAGAGCTGAGTTAGAATTCAATTCTAAAATAACTCTCAATCTACATACGCCTTTACATAGTAAACTTTTGGTTCTAACTTCCAATGCCTTTTAATCATGTTATATAAATTTTTATATACATTTTTATATACATCTATCTAAGCGTTCTCTATTTTAAGTATAAATAAAGGGAATTATTCAATAAAGATAAATAATAACAATTTATGTACTCATTATATGTTTCTCATGTGGGGATGAGTCTGATTCAGTTTGTCAAGTTTCTCTACAAATATATACTATAAATATCGGCCTCTTATTTAGGCATAGCAACATCATCAGCGCAAATTTTCATTTCTTATAGATTCCCTTGTTAAATAAAACTGAAATTGGGTTACGATAGCCAATGAAGGCGCTGATGAAAGGCGCAATGGTCCATCGCGTTAGCTAAGCTTTTGATAATTGAGGGCAGCCTTTCATTTCCTTCTGGTCTTCATGAAATTGAGGCAGTTATAAAATCAGTTACCACAGCGATAGAGTCCAAATTGGCGATGCCAACGCCTACGTGAGTGATTAGCCCAGCAGCAGCAGCAGCAGCAGCAGCAGAAGCAGCAGCAACAGTTGCTGCTATAAATAGTAAATCCATCAGCAGAGGATTTCAGTAGGCGACAGGGAGCAGCATTCGAATCTATAGCAAAATGCAATTCACAATCAATCAAGACTCACAGGGAGCAAGAATGTTGCCTCTTCTCCTGCTGGCTCTGGCAGTTGCAGTCGGAGGCAGTGCGTCCGAGGAGAAGACGCTGCCGAAGCGCAGCATTGGCGATGTATCCATTCCCTGGGCGGCGACGAGTGGCGGACAGTTCGGCAGCACCTGGAACACTGGCGGCTGGGCTGGCCATCTGGCGGGCAGCAGCGCCGCCTGGAGTGCTGGACACGCGCCGCTGAAGACTGCGCCGTCGCCCAGTGAAGTGGCCAATGCCATTGCGGCGGCCAAGCAGGCGTCGGCCAATGTGCTCATCGCCCAGCAGCAGATGCAGGCGGCCAAGGAGAATGTGCTGAACCAGCAGCGCATCGCCATGGAGAAGGAGACCCATGCCGCACTCCTCACCCAGAAGTCGGAGGCCGCCGCGGCCATTCAGCGCTCGGAGGCGGCCTCTGCTGCCTCGGCTGTGGTGCTGGCCCAGCAGCGCCTGGCCGCCTCCAAGGCAGCCGTTGCCTATCAGCAGCGCATCGCCGCCGCTCGCGAGGCCGAGGCAGCCTCGGCGCTGCAGCGCTCCGCTCATGCTGCCGCCGCCGAGATCCAGAAGACCGAATACGAAGCAGCCAAGTTCGGGCAGTTCACGCGTAACGGCAATGCCGGCGCTGCTCATCACCTGACAATCATCAAGGATGCCGCACTCTCGCCCATCACAGCCGGCACGAATCATGTGCCCAATCTGGAGACCATTGGCCTGACACCCTGGCTGCATGGCAATGGCCACAACAAGCCAGCTCCCGGCTCCGCCTGGCTGTAATACGAACAGACCTGATTATCTAAAAGACCTGATTATCTAAATATATTTTAAGCGCATTGAAAAACGGTTGTTGTTTTATTTAACTCTTGAAAGGATTAGTCAGGTTTAAGGTGGCTATGCTCTTTTATATGTAGAAGCTGGATAGCCTCAAGAATTATTATACTAAGGTATATCATATCATATATAAAGTTGTTTATTTTTTAGCATCACATTCAAGGTACAAAATTTTCTGAATTTGACGTCATATTCCGCCATGGATATTATCTGGGTCAAGTGAGCTTAGGCTTAGTTTGTGGCTCAACAAATTTACAGTTGTCCGCTTAGAGCTTGGCCTATTGCACGTGTACTTATCATTTTTCTTCCTGTGGGTTGGCTTCAACAATTAATTACAGGCAATTGCGAGTGTCCAGTTTAGATCAAAATGCCAACCCGTTCTCCCCCTCTCTCTCCCTCTCCCTCTCTCTCTTCCGCTCACAGTCTGTCTCACTTTTTAGTCTGGCACGCTTTGGGGGAATGTATTTACTGTTTACCTTCTATTTTTTCCTCGCTTTACGCCAACATGTTTTGCGAGCTGGTCTCGTTGGGGCGTGCCCTGACCTCAGCCAAAAGCTTTGGTGACAAGCCACTGCGTCCTCCTGTCCCTGAAATTTGCGCACTTTTGGGACAAGTTTCCAGAGCCCCACCCTAGCTGTTTGTCGTCCCACATTTAGCATGTTACTAACTAGTCTCGCTGCTCGCCCTCTAATTTGCAGCTAGTCCAAACCAAAGTTCGGTATATGCGGTTACAAAGGCAGCGCAAAGTCAGAGCTGCAGCTGAAGCGGAAGCTGAACAGTTTTACCCAGTTTTTCCTCAATTATATATATAGTATTTCTATATCTACATATGCATTAAATGTAGAACTGCATTTTAACCGCTAATGAGCCATAATTACGCACGTATCCTTCGGTATCTTGGGGAATTCCCTTCAAAGTAGATTTTTACGTCAGTTTTCTCTGTCTGTCAGTAAATTCTGCTTAACTGCTTTGTCCTGGGAGTTCATAATTACAGATATTATCAGTTGACCCATATTTGAAATTTTTTATATTAAATTAAGAGCTAAAAATTAAAATTAATGAATTTAAAATTAAAATTAATTTTTGGTCTTTTTGTAGGGAAGGATATTTAATATATCAAAAATTCCACAAATTTGGTATTTAAAAATTCTAAAAATTTGGTATTTAATGAAACTATATTATTAGATATTATTATATACACATATGTATTCTATATACCCTGCCCTTTCCCTTTAATAAGTCACATAGTAGCTAGGTCTAGCTCGTCTTAAATATATCGTAAGCTAACTCTCTACATAAATTTAGTTAATGATAGCCAGATAATAAGAATTATGTCCTAAGTAGACTTACAAAAGTTTTGGCTTATATGTTCGCTGAGAAATGCCTATATAACAATCTGTTGAATGTCAGGGGAGTTTTCAATAGCAAATAATGTTCATTATTATTATTATTTTGGGAGCCATAAAATCACAATAGAATGTGCTGAGTGTTAACTATGAATATACAACATATATTATGTGAAACAGGCAGCAGGAGAAGTAGCTCTGGCCTTACTATTAAACAGAAATAATATTGGAGTCAACTTGGCTCAAGTCTAATTATTAGCAATTATTAGTTTATCAATCTAGAAAGTCAAATACCCACAATACTCGGATAATCAATCTATTCTTTTGTCTTCTCTAACTATATATGCATATATTCTTGAACATTTAAAAAGGCGAGTCAATTGAACTTGGTTTGGCT